GAACACACAATGGTTATTAATAAAAATTGGAAATGAACATTCATGGTTTTCGTCATTTGAGAGAAGATCAAGCATTTTTGGAATAAACTAGTAACATACATCAAGGCAAATCTTACTTTCAAGGAGAAATTGAAACGATATTACCTCACTCTTGATTGGGATTGAAGTTGTACTCACATGATGTCAAATAATCAAACACAAAGTTAGAGTGAAAGTATAAGGTTCAAGCAATAAGATATAATTAAGCAACATTTGAGATATCGATTATTCCCAATTCCCCATGTATATTGACAAAAGGTTCAGTTGCGAGTGGTTTAGTGAAAATATCGGCAAGTTAATTTTTACTATCAACATCTTCAAACACAACATTGTGAAATCAAGATTCTCAATGAAGAACTTCTTTTTGATGAATAAAAATCATTATGGAAAGAAGTAAAAGATGCTAGTCAAGCTAAAAGATCATGATAAATACTTTGATTCAAGCAATTGGAATTTTAAGAAGGTATAATGACAACTCTTACCAAATACTTATGTCTTAGATGCTCAAAAGATAAAACATTATTGCCTAATATGTTTATACCATATCACAAAAGTCTTAAGAAAAAAAATTCAATTTTTACTATGTGTAATCGATTTGCATTCATGTGAAATTGATTGCTTACTGAGCGTTTCATAAAAAATATTCAAATTTGCTTATGTTTTTCCTGTGCAAATCGATTACTTCTGATGTGCAATCGATTGCACACTGAAAAATTTTAAAAAATTAACCCTTGTCCAATCGATTGCTGCTAAGGTGAAATCGATTGCTTACTGTACGTTTTTGAAAAATAGTAACTTTTTTTGCACCTCTTCATACACCACTTCATGGAATCTTTTCATTTAATCCTTGCAATTGTTCATGATTATTTTGGATAAACTTATGATGTTTCAAAGGGGTGCTATGAAAATATAAATACTTGATTTTTCATATTCAAAAATCACCTTTTTCAATCAAACTTTGCATAATTATCAAGATCTCCATTTCAAATTTCTATCTTTCATTCAAGAATTTTCTGCATAATTTCATATCATTTAAAACAGAAATTCTTGAGCAATCTAAGTCTTAAGTAATTGAATTATTGTCATTGAATAAGAATATTGATCAAGTGATTTATGTATTGTCCATAATCATTTCAAACTCTTATCAAAATTCAGATTACTTATTGTAACCTTGTTGTCCAGGATTGTTGGAAGCAAGTGTGTGCATTAAGGAGGATTGTTCTTCTTGCACTTAGTGTTCATATCTTAAAGGTGTTAAGAGACTTTGATCTCCCTATAGGTTAGATAGTAAGCATCACAATTAGTGTGAATAGGCTGTACAATAATTCTAACTATAGTAAATCTCTTCCGTGTTGGTAAGGGGACTAGAGTACCTTCGAAGTGTGAGGGGAACCAGGATATATCCGGTGTCATTTATTTTTCTGTCATTTATCACTTTAATAACCTTCTTTACAACCAAAAAAATAATCATAACTACATAAAAATTTGAGAATTTCCAAATCACCTAATTCACCCTCCCTCTTAGGCGCACTAACAACTTGCATTTGGTATCAAAGCTAGTTAAGGTAACTTGTTTCTATTCGATCCAGAATGGCTTCTGCACACCAACTTTCAAAGATGGTGGTAGTAACAACAAGCCTCCATTGTTTTGTGTTGAATACTTTGACTTTTGGAAAATTTGCATGAAGGCTCATTTAGAAGCACAAGGAGAAGAAATATGGGATGTTGTCCAAAATGGTCCGTTTACTCCGACATGTGTTGTCAATGGTGTTGGAACATCAAAGCCCAAAACATCATGGGATGACAACGATAAGAAAAAAGTCCTTTATGACAAGAAAGCAATCAATCTTCTTCAAGGTGAACTTTGCATGGATGAATTCTTTCGTGTTTCGGTATGGACAACGACAAAGGAAATTTGGTTTACTTTGGTTGAAACACACGAAGGAACTGCAAAGTCAAAAGATCAAGATTGAATACCTTGAGTCAAGAGTTCGAGATATTTAAAATGCAACCCGGAGAATCTATTTTCAATATGTAGAAAAGATTTGTTCATTTGATGAATCGTTTAAAGGCTCTTGGTAAAACTCTCACCAATGACGAACTCAACCTAAAAGTGCTTCGATCTTTAATTGGAGAATGACAACCGAAAGTAATGGCTATTTCAAAAAAGAAGAATTTATCCAATATCTCATCTGCAACTCTATTTGGTAAACTTCAAGAGTACGAGACGAAACTTGGAAGACTTGCTAAGCATGAAAATCAAAAAAAGAAATCAAAAGGTATCACTTTGAAGGTGGAATCCAAGGAAGTCGCTATTGAAGATAATCCGGAAGAAGATGAAAATTTCACGCTTCTTGTGAAAAGGTTAGGCAAATTCTTTGGCCCTAAAAATAATTTTGGTAATTCTAACTTTGTCAAAAAGAAGCAATTTTCAAAGAACAAAGATAAAAAAGCCTACACATCAACACAAAATATCACATGTTATGAATGTGAAAAGCAGGACCATATCAAATCGAACTGTCCAAATATCTCCAAGAAAAGTGACTACAAAGGAAAGAAAGATTCCAAGTATAAAAGACCTACGTTGCTTGGGAAGACAATGAAGTTAGTTCATCATCCGAATCGGAAAATGACGAATGCACAAATTTAGCATTAATGACTACTCAAAATTCCGAAGATGATGAAGACGAAGAGGTTAGTATAAATTTTACACTTTATGATATTGATATACAAGGTGACATTGATGAACTTCTAAATGAATACAAAGTTTTGTATAAAAAGGTGTCAATGCAAGAAAAGGAACTCTTATCTTCTCAAGAAAAGAATGACACTATGAACAAAGATTTTGAATGTCAAAAACATAATTTTCTTAAATAAAAACAAAACTTTGTATGCAAAGATTGTGAATCCTACACTTTTCAAATTGTTCAATTAAAGAGAGTTATTGAACGACATGAAAAGAGACAAATTGGTTTGAATGAATTACTCAACATGTGATACACTTGGCAAAAACTTAAAATGAAAGTAAAGCTAAATTTGTGTGGTGAGCTATATAACTCTCCAGATGAAAATAGGTGGCTCTAACACCCACATAAAGTACATGAGATTTCTTTAATGAGAAAGAACTTTAGTCTCACGAGGAGAGCCATCCATTTGCTCAACAAATATTTTAAGATAGAGATTATAATAGAAGGGTCTTGAATCAATTATAAAGTATTATTGTTCATAAAATGTCATAACAAACTCAAGAAGACCAATAACATATCAAAGACATGATAAATGTTTCCAACTCAGAGAAATCAAGCTTGGATACTCTTTTTATTTTCCAATTCTTCTTGTAAAACTACATCAACCACGCATAACTACATTTTCCCCGTATGTTTGAGATTAAATTAGTCTTTTTGATTTTTTGTAAATACTCTTGATTTGACGATTATATACAATCTTATTTTTGATATATTAAAATTGTTATGTCGTACTCATTTCTTCCTCAATGTTAAACTTTAAAATTGATCTTTTGATTTAAAAAATGACAGAAATAGATTTTATACTTAAGTGTCATAGAATAAAAATGTTTGTAATTGCTAGCCATATAAATATGGTCATGTTTATAACCATTAAACTACTATTGAATCATAATACTATTGAATCTATCAATTGAACGAGAAATCTAATATTGATAGATTCAATAAATATCACGTCATTTGTCGGGAATTAAAATATATAGTCGACGAGGAGTAAGAAATGAAGGTATACTTAAAAAACTTAAAATTCTATAACCGATCAAGATCATACTTAAAATAATTAATCGAGAAAGTCTAATTCCAATCTCACTTTGTTAAACTTTGATCACATTTTCTTTCCTTATTTTAGTTACAAACAAATTATCATACTTTACTTAAAAACATATAAATACACTTAAGAGTTCTAATAAACATAAGTTCCAAAATAATAAAAAACACCTAAGATTTAATAAAAAACTTTACCACATTATGAATATAAAAAGTCATATCCATATCCATATCTATATCCTATCAACCATTACATTGCATTATTATAATGAAGACATCAAAACCAAGTCCATGACCTAAAGTGACAGAGTCAACCAACTACCACTCCTTACCCAAATCGGGTACGGGCCCACATAAACGTTAACCCTTTTTCTCTATCTCGCGCCCTAGTATATAAACTCTCGTTATATCCTCCTGGTCCACACTTTTTCCCTCTCTCGTCCTCAACTCACACTGTCTTCGTCTTCTCTCTGCAAATCCCATTCCATCTCCTTCTCCGGTCAATGCAGGTATTCCTCTCTTCCATTCACGCATTCATCTATCTCCGTGTTTGTTTTGCCGCCAAGTGTTTGCGCGGTTGTTCTTGTTTTTCTTGAACCCTAGTTTTTCTTTGGATTCGATTCTTCTGTTGCGATTTTCTATACCTTTTTTCTTGATGTTTCTTGTCTTACTGATTATGATAACTTTGGATTTCGAAACGTTTTAGTTGCACGTTGTTTCAGTTGAATAGCATTACCGTTCCGTGTTTTCCAGGGTTTGAAATTCTAACTCTTCAAACTTCAATGTTGTCGATGATTTTTCACCAATGTGCGTTTTATTCGTTGATGCAATTCGAATTTTATACGGATGTGTGGTTTATCTGTTTATCCCAATCCTTATGTTTTTACCATTTCCGAGCTTCCTTTCAATGACATGTTTTTTTAAGTGAAATTAGTTTGAGTTAGGGTTGTTAAAATTTTCTAGGGTTTTGATAATGTGTAGTATTCACTGTCTCTTTTTGACTTATTGATTGTGATTTCTGTGGTTATCATCTTATTGACTTATTGCATATACGTTTCAAGTAACTTACCTTTTCGTACTTGTTTACTGTTTAATGGATTGTCTTCAGGATATCCCTTAGTGCATGAGTTGCTAAGAGAGTATATGCGCTGATTCAGTTAACGTTGAATTATGGCGCCAAAGTCTAGATTTGATTCCCGTGCAGCTAGCCTAGATGAGTTGGCTGTCAAGGGGGATTTCTCAAATGGACAGCAGGGAAATTTGAGAAATGTCGATTCGGATAGGCCTGCAAGCTTTCGTGATGGTAATGACAGTCGGATGTCTATTTCTGATACTAGTATGGTGCAGGGAAATTCTACATCTTCACGAGATTCGGATTCGTTTTCCCAGTATTTAAAGTTGGATCCAATAACCACAGGAGGTCCAAAGTATACTAGTTTAAATGACTTAAAGCGGGCTCTGAGGATATCTCATGTAAACACTCTTGAAGACTGTACTTTTCAAAGTGGTAATCCGAAGTCTCGCATTCCAGCGGATCCGGAGGAACTGAAACGATTCAAAGCACGTCTACAGGAGGCTTCTGCCCGGGCTAGGTAATTTGTGGAACTTTATGCAATACCATTTATTCTGTCATCAAATCATACCGCCTTTACCCTACTTTTCATTTAGTGTAATTCCTAATCAATTCGCGCATAATTGAGAACTTACATTTTCAGCATATGTAATATGTAATTGAATGACTACCTTTTTAGTCAACTTTTCTCGGTTTTTCGAATTAAGGCGACGTCTGAGTTGTCAAGAATTTTCTCATTTATTGTCAGTTTGTTACTTGTGCAATGATTCTCTTATAAAGGTTTCACTCTTTTATTTTTACAGTGATAAATCAAAGAGGTTGGATGAATCTGTACACAAATTGAACAAATGTTGGGAGGCCTTAAACTCAAAGAAGCAATTTCAGAACGAGGGGTTACCAAATGAAAGGACGAGTGGGTCCCATTTATCTAACATGGGAAGTCAGACTCATCAGAGCACTACAGAGCTTGCAAATAAAAAACCAGAGGATATACCTAAGAAAATCATTCTGAACGCGCAAATCCGTACATCAGCTGCTGAGATACAGGTCAGTAGCTAGCTAGCCTTTTAAAATTATTGTTGCATTTCCTTATATTAAAGCTGTGGGTTTATGCCATGTTAATTGCTAGTCATTTTTTATTTAATTGTAACAAGGAGGATAGAATTCCAATAGTATTGAACATTGAATAAAATTGTAGTGCTTTGAAATAACTTGGATAAGGGAGAGCATGATGACACATCCTTTCTTGAATCTGGTACAACTATATTCGATTTCTGTTACATGTGCTTCTCTGAAGATTTAGAAGCTATAGTCCCACACTAAATGATCTGAATGGGATATTGAGAGATTTCATGTTGCAGTTTGCAACTGTATGTGTTATGTTAATTTTAATATTTTAGTACACTTAAATTTTAATTGTTGGGCCAAGTTGGATATCCATCATATGTTGATATTTTTAGTCTTACTTCCAGTGCCATTATATTTGCAAAGTATCTGGAGGAACTATTATTTTTGATTACCGATGTAATGTAACTTATTGAACGACAACACTTATGTAGAGAGTCATTGATAACTAATTATTGATTTGATTTTACTCTCTTAAATACTGAACATGCTACGTTCCTTTGTTTTCTGAGTAGCAACATATTTTTTCGACCTTGTTAATACTTTATTTTTTAAAATATCTAATCTATATTTACTTCATATCTTTTGGTGATAAATACTAGGCGGAAGGGCTAAACAATAGCTTTGGCAGACAGCCTTTGACAATTGGAAAGGATAAAGACAACATCGAGGATGTTGGCAAGGTTTGTGATGGTGTTCAAGAGAAGATTCAAAGGTTACCTGTAAGTGGAGAAACATGGGATAGAAAAATGAAAAGAAAACATTCCATGCGCACCGTCACATCCGGATCCACTGATGGGGAAGGAGAGCCGAAAAGAGTTATGTATCTAAAGCAAGCTAATGAGTCTGGTCTGCAGTCTTGTGATGCCATAGGTTTGAGGTAAACACAAGTTTATGAGTTGCTTTGATTTCTGATTTCGTCAATAAATGGCCATAAGTCATTTATCATACTTAATTTAGGAATGTTGTGTTTGTGCATCTTTAGGTTCCTTCATAAAAATGAATTGCAATTTGGGAAACATGTCGGTGCATAAAAAAATCAATTTATCATACTTAATTTAGGAATGTTGTATTTGTGCATCTTTAGGTTCCTTCATAAAAAATAACCTTATTGGGTAGTGTTAAGAATTCACGTGGTGAAAAGATTGTTGGCTGACATGTAGTTCTATTGCAGTTACTGTTGTGACGTGATATGTGTACATTAGTTAACATCATCTTTAGTTTGTTACCAATCAAATCTGTCACTTAAACTACTGAACAGAGTATTCATGATGCAATTTTTGGACAAAATTTAGGTGCATCTCTCTTGAGTGCTTTTGCGTTGTTCTCAGTTATAACAAATTTTGAGTAAATTATGTATTTGAAGAAATTATAGGCAGTTTATATTTGAAAGTATTATAAATTAATTATTTCAAGTTAAAACAACACAGAGCACAGAAAGAAATGCACACAAGATTTGTCCTTTTTTATTCTAGGGCTATATCTGAAATGATATTTGTGAAGAGTCCCACTTGGAATGAGATATAGCCTAAACATATGTTTATAAGAGGAGCAAGACAATTCTCACCTTACAAGCATGTTTCGTAAGAACGAGTCTCCTGTTAACTGTTTACCTACTTTGTGATGATAGTAACAATTCTATAGCTTCCACACGTTTATGATTTACTAGTGAGAGGTGATGCTAAGTGAGGCTGTTATGATTTACAAGTGAGAGGTGATGGTAAGTGAGGTATTATGATCGCAAAAGATTCATTTGGCTATAACAGCCAGTAATAGCAAGCTTCTTAGCTTCCCTGCCTGCTAGTTCAGCTTCACATGTATGCCAAGTATGAGCAAGAAAAGGTGTTTAAGGATTCAATGGATGGAACAAGAATGGAGTGTACTTAAAAGTAACAAGTACTTATCTGCACGGTTGTATTTATGAAGCATCTATGAAGTGCCTAACAAGCTTTATTTCTTTCATAAAACCCTATTAGTATAATTTTATGAGTAATCTTATTTTCTCTTTTTTTAGATTTGATGACCATGGCAAAAATTATACCAGTGGTATTTATCCACATACAAAAGTCAAAGCTTCAAGGGCACCTCGATCTGGTAACTTGATAGTTGGAAACTCATCTTCTGAAACACTTGACGCCCGGGAGCAACCATCAAATGTGAACCAGCCTCATTCATCGATTGAGGCAATCAATCATAAGCGTCCTTTTCCTATAGAATCGTCTATGTCCGATTTAGCCCAATGGGCTGGGCAGAGGCCTCAAAAAAGTTCTCGCACTCGAAGAGCAAATGGGGTATCGCCGTCGGTCTTCAATTGTGATGAAATGCCTATGCCATTTGAAGGCTGTTCCCCTTCTAGCGGTACTATAATGACTTCTACTACAACTAGTGGACCACCTACATCCAAGGGTGCTATCAACAACATGCAATGCACTAGGAATAAAAATGACGACAATTCATTCCAGACCAGAATATGTGAAAGTGTAGAATCTGGCGCCAGAGAAAATGGTGAAAATAAATTAAAGGAGAAAGTATTGGACAGAAACAAAGGTGATGGAAGAGCCATAAATGATTCCTGTAATATAGGTTCCTACATGTCAATGACTAAAAAGGAAATAAAGCTGAACAAAGAAGAGACTGGAGATGGTCTGCATAGACAGTGTAGTGGCAGCAAGGGCTTTTCAGTTTTGAAGAATGGCATCTCATCGACAGAAGAGAAGTCTGAGATTTTATCCTTGACAAAGCGAACTCGTAATACGAAACCTTCTTCTCTAAAGAATGCAAGGTATAGTTTCTGTCACTTATTGCTCTCTTTTTCCTCCTGATAATGGCTAAATAGGGATTTATTCCACTAGACTAAGTTTATGTTTTTCCAGTAGATCAAGGCGACCTCGTATGAAGAAGCCACACAATAGTAAAGCTATTGCTCATCTTGGGCATCCATCAACTAGTAGTTCCCCGGATATTGCAGGTATATTTATCCATTTGAGTAACTACTCATTGCATTAAATGAGTAGAATTGTTTATCATATTATACTTATTTATTAAGATACTCTATAGTAACAAGATGATATAAGATGTTTTCTCATATTCAAACAATAATGTTGTACAAACCATCCAAAATGGCAGGTAGGTCAGGTGATGACTGTGAGGAACTATTATTTGCGGCCAACATTGCTAGCAATGCCAGCCGTATGTTACTAAGCCTTGCTATTTTTGAGTTGGGTGTGCGTGCGTTTAAATGTATGCAGAAACTTTATATACATATTGGTCCTTGGCAGATACTGGCTGTTCTAGTTTATTCTGGAAGAAAATGGAACCTAATTTTGCTCCTGTTAACTTGGAAGTCATAGACCACTTGAAGCAGCAGGTGTGTGTTCTGACAATTTGTGTTTGTAAAATTTAAGTGACTCTTAATTGAATTGTTGCTTACCCCCTTTTTGTTATTCTTTGCATCAGGTTAAAACAATAGAGGATGATCAAAGTTATTTATCTCAAATGCATTGCTTTCAAAGTGATGCCCTGGTAATGCCTAAAGCTTAAATCTTATATTTGCAATAATTTTCAAATTTGACACTTTTTTTACGAATAATGGATATTCTACTTCAAAAAAGTGAAATAGCGATTTTAGTTAGCTTTTTCTTCATTTGGGGTGCATGTGTGTTAGGAATACCATATGAGGAGGGATCAAGTTACTCCAGGAATAGCTTTGAGTAGAAGACTCCACAAATATTTTTCCAATCCTACCGTCAAATTAACTGATCTTATTGAGTAGATCAACTCCACAAGTTTTCATTTATTTTTATAACTATTTTATACTTCATCAAGTGAATTCAAATGAATGTATAAAAGCTTAAAGCTTTTTTAAAATACAAGTAAATGTTGACTTCTATAGCTACAAATTTTGATTTCTATGAAACTTCGTTGCTTGATAACTAATATGATAATAATCAACAATTAGGTTTGTGAAATTTAATGTTTATAAGTACTTATTAAGTAGAGTAATTCTACTCAAAGTTAATGTATATATGTTACTTTGATTTAATCTTTAAATATTATTACTGTTTATTTTAATTTGTAGTTTTTAATTATAAATATTTTCATATTTTATTATACTTAATCCCATTTTTTTTTTGTTAGAGATAAAAGTAAATTAGAATTTTTTAATTCCGTTCTGGTTTCTAATGCAATCTTTACCTCATAATAATAGAATTTAAACAAGAGGAACATGTTATGATAAGAGGTAGGGCTAATTAATTTATCATATGTACCAACTCATTAGATTAATATGCTAGTGCTTCAACCTTTTGTATAAGTAAAGCCTAGTGTGTGATTCAGCAAAACTGATTTAATATGAATAGCCACAAAAATATAAAACTGGGGCAGAGCTCCCAAATTGCTATAAGACTGAGACTGTAGCTTCCAGAGTAAAACTTTTAAACAGTTATCAGTCTTTTTCTAATGCATTTCTTTCATCCAAATTCTCAGGATGCGGTTGTGTTTACGAACAACTTTTTTTCGCAATATCCACTTGAAGGAGAAAGAGGGAGAAACATTTTAAATCAATCTGATTCAAAAGAGCTATCTTCAATGGTTGACATGGTTGTTCAACCTCACGAAGACAGCTTTCTGTCCAGTCAAATGGATTTACAATACAAACTACCCCCATTGTACCACAGAGTATTGACAGCTTTGATCATTGACGATCAAATTGAAGAAACTGTTGGAGATGAAAACATATCTTTTCTGCATGAAAGAGATGACCCTCCTGTTGGATTCTGCACTGACACAGTTTCCTGTAGTGGGAATGCTACCTTTACATGTGACAAAATGTCTCTGGAAGATAAACTCTTAATGGAGCTACAGAGTGTCGGCATATACCCAGAACAAGTGGTAAGCTTCCAATTTGTAGATATGTGAAAAGTATGTAGTTTATACACTTAAGAGTGTAATTTAAGGTTTTAAACATAATTGAGGACATTTCAGACTTTTAGTCTGTACATTTAACACATTATAAATCAATTTTTCCTTCCTTCCAAATCCTCCCAATATTGGACGGAGCCAGACTTTAGAGGTGAAGCCCTTAATGTTTCCCTCCTCCCTTTTCATCCTTAAACAGAACAGGTTTTTTTTTTTTTAATTAATATGCGTCTCCAATCTTTTATGATGACTGGTGCTCGACTCCTTGGCCAGAGCATTATCATTTTATGTTAAAGCATGCAGACATGCATTATGTTTGAGAGAGTTTATTGAGTATTGAATATGATTTTCTGGTTCATTTTTTCTATCAATGCTTCTGTTACTAACTGTTCTCCTTATGTTTGTCTTGTTAAAGCCTGAGCTTGCTGATGGAGGTTGTGAAGCTATTGATCAAGAAATTACTCAATTGCAAAAGGGAAGCTGTCAGCAGGTTTTGATTCTTATCTGAAGTAAACTGTCTGTTTTGTTTTAAGTTATTCTTGGTTTTATTATTTACCTAACTGTCTGTATTTGACCAATTTTGTAGCTCATCAAAAAGAAAGAAGGATTTATGAAACTTATTCAAGCAGTAGAAGATGGCAGGGAATTGGAACAGCGGTAAAATATTTGACAATATATAGTTTATCTTGTTCATTTTGACAAATCCACATGCTGACCCTCATTAATAGCTAATATGTATTATGTTCATATGCAGAGCCCTTGAGCAAGTTGCTATGGACAAACTTGTTGAGTTTGCTTATAAGAAGAAGCTGGTAATATGCCTATTTAGTTTTTGTGCTTATTCCCTGTTGTTTGCTGAGTTAGTTTTAGAATGCAGAAGAGGCAACTGAATTGAGCTATTTGACATATTATCTTAAACATGTTATTTGTTCGAGTTAAAGGTGGTGTATTTGTTGCAGTTCAAATTTTTTAACGATTAAACCGTCAAATTAATTTCTGATTCTGTAGAATGCTCTGAAATAAGTCCCCGAGATTATGACTATTTCAAAAAGGTCCATGACTATCAAATTTTACTCATTAATTTTTGGATACTAATACTAAATTTATAATAAATGGTTAAATATAGTAAACCAAATTGATAGTAGGTGGTCTTTTATAATATAAAGACTTTATTGATAGTAACTGCTTATATATAGGTACCAAGTTGACATGTTAATAGAGTCATGGATCTCTTTAAATTATTCAGTGCCATGGACCAGTTTGAGGGTGTTCTACAGAGTTGAGGACTAATTTGGCAGTTTACATTTTTTATCCTCGAATTTATATTCTTTGCTCTTTCTCTCTTTTTCAACTCTTCTTTAGATGTATGGCTTCTGTTCTAGACCAATCTTTTCAGAATTATGCTGTGACAGCTTTGGTCATGGAATAGTTTAGTTAAACTGATTTGCATTTGAAAAATGACCCTTTATAATTATTATAGGCCACTCGGGGAACTATCGCAGCAAAGTATGGAATTTCTAAGGCCTCAAGGCCAGTTGCTTTGGCTTTCATGAAGAGGACTCTTGCTAGATGCCGGGCATTTGAGGAGACCAGGAAAAGTTGCTTTTTGGATCCCATGTTTAAAGATGTCCTATTTGCAACTCCTGCTCTTGACAACTATACCGTTTCAACTGTTTCTGATAACCGACCACTTGCTCAAAACTCTCGGCAAGATTTTGCACCACCAGGTTTTCCGTTTTCATCATGTTCTATTTGTTTTTGATGAACTTTCTTTGATACTCAAATAATGTGTGAGAATGTCATATTTATCAATCTTACTTATTTCTCTTCCTAAGCATTTGGTAATTTATTTGGCCTTGGCACTTGCAGATTCATTTCCTTCCAGGGAGCAAAATGTCGGGGCAAGTTCAAACCATCGATCCAACCTGGATTTTGCCAGGACTGGACCAATACTGAACGGAGGGAAGAAAGGTAAAGTGCTACCTGATGATGTTGGTGTTAGCACTTATTTGGGAGGGAAGAAAGGAGAAGTGCTACTTGATGATGTTGGTGCTAGGGATTATTTGGGAGGGAAGAAAGGAAAACTGCTACTTGATGATGTTGGTGCTAGTGCTTTGGGAGGGGAAAAAGAAAAAGTGCTACTTGATGATGTTGGTGCTAGTGCTTCTTTGGGAGGGAAAAAAGGAGAAGTGCTACTTGATGGTGTTGGTGCTAGTGCTTCTTTGGGAGGAAAGAAAGGAGAAGTGGCACTTGACGGTGTCGGTGCTAGTGCTTCTTTGGGAGGGAAGAGAGGAGAAGAGCTATTTGACAATGTTGGTGTTGATGCTAAAGGAGAAATGCTACTTGACGGTGTTAGGGCTAGCACTTCTTTGGGAGGAAAGAAAGGAGAAGTGCCACTTGACGGTGTTAGGGCTAGTGCTTCTTTGGGAGGGAGGAGAGAAGTGCTATTTGAGGATGTCGGTGTTGATGCTAGTGCTTCTTTGGGAGGAAAGAAAGGAGAAGTGCTACTTGCTGGTGCTTCTTTGGGAGGGAAGAAGGGAGAAGTACTACTTGAGGATGTTGGTGCTAGTGCAACTCTTGGTAATTCGTTCTTGAGTGGAACAACGGGAAAGAGGAGTAAAAGAGGGACAAACAAGGACACTTCTATAAGAAATTATGTTAAAAGAGGTGGTCGTTCTTCTGCAAGTAACACAAGGAGTGGGCGTAAACCAAAAGCGAAGGGCAAACCGAAGACAGACCAACTCTCTACTTCTGCAGAAGGATCACTTCACAAGTTGGTGGAAAATACCAACTCTAAGCATCAATTGGCTTGTGGCTCTGATCAACTGGTTTCCAGTGGTAACAATAATGTTGGCTCTGTATCTCATGGTTCTAGTACTATTGATTTTGCCTTTGAAACTGAGGATCCCTTGGATTTAACAAACATGCCTGAACTAGACTCCATAGAAAATGGTGCAGATAAAGATCTGGATTCTTGGTTAAACATTGATGTGGATGCCTTAGAAGATGATGATGATGCGGTGGGCCTAGACATACCGATGGATGATCTGTTCACGGTTCTGTGAAGACGAATGCAGGGTATTATGTATTCCTATCATTATTTGGTGTTTATAAACCGCACGGTGTTGGTTGAACTCTGCTCATACAATTCATTACTCCAGTTGGCAGTCTTAGTTATGATCATTATTATTTTGTATATACTTGCCAGTCAGTATCTATCTACAGTACCAAATATAGAAGCCCAACATAGGGTTAAAGAAATACAGAAAAGAAGAAAAAGGTAGTTCTCAATTGTTCATATGAGAATAGAGCTCCATTGGTTGTAATGTAACTATTACATACATTACAAATAATTTATAATTGTGTTGTTATTTTCTCTCATGGCTTGTAAATTATATCATCCTAATTACAAAAGCCAATTTGTGGTATCCACTGCTCATGAATTAGAAATCATAAAGCCATCGTAGAAAGCCAACCATATGTTCTATCTGAGAACTTGTGACACTAATCTTACCACGAAATGATAAAGGGTCATATTGAAACTAAAAAGTAGGATAGAAGTTGGAAATCATCACCATGTAAGCCCCTAGTTTCTTACCCTCTAATGCAAAAGAAAACAAACTGAAAACAAAGTTACCATGTTTTCAAAGTCCGTCTTAAATTGAACTTTCCTATTCTGAGTATTCAAACCTGTACAAATAGTCTAAATGATCCATTCCACGCGGATCACAATTTAAATGAACTTTTTTTTTTCTCTTTCAAATTCACGTTGACCATTAAGGGAATTTATATTACAATGAATTATTCATTTTCCTTGGCGAAATTTTTTAAAAATAATCTTCAAATTTGAATTTTAAAACTGGCTTAAATAGTCTTTTGATTCTTACAAGTTGACGAGTTATTCATCTATTCTGTATCTTTTTTTCTTGGATAAACTTCTTAAAAGTTCTACTCCATTGTATTGATAAGTTATCCATTCTCTTTTCTTTTTTGATTTCACATGCATGTATTACCTAAATAGTTTATAGATATGATACTCTATGCTTAAATGCAATAGACATGTCATTTTTATATGTAGTGAACTAACTATTTTGCTTTGAGTTTTTGAACACTAAAGCTTAGGGTTCATGCATGCTCTGTTTTTTGGTTTGTGTTTATGGTTAAGTACAATCCGAATTTTGAAATCTGGACCCTTAGTCTGAAGAGTAGAATTCAGAATAATCCAATATCTGTTTTTTTTGTTTGGTTTGTTTCTGTGCTTCTTTCTATATTTTGTTAAGACATCTCTCTGTGCTTGTTTGAGTAGAGGAAAAATGTCTGACAAACAGAAAAGATTGAGAGATGGTAGAGTGATCTAACATGTCTTCGATCGCAAGGAGAATGTTAGACCATTACAACATGCATATAGAGACTTCTTTTATTGGTAATATATCGTTTTCATATGTTCATGTGTGTCCGACATCGTCTTCTCAAATTCATGTGTCCCCTGCTACCCCAGAAGTCCCAGATACTCTAGATTCTGTTGTGCCCGATGATTTTTTGGGAGGCATGTAACACCCTATTTTCCCCATCGATAATTTAATAAAATCAGAGTAAATTAAAATTTTAAATCAACATCAAATAGGATGTCACATTCATTCAACATCATACAAATTGCTCAAACATTTAACAAATGGATACATAACACACTTTTTTCGGATGAACCGACAACATCTTCAAAACATGGTTCTCAACTTCTACTTTATTAACGCAGCGGAAAGGAAATTCATAAATTATTTTTAACATCTTTAACTCATCATAAATAAATAAATTAATCAAATAAAAGAGAGTTTATAATGCTCTCACAATCTTTTAAAAACAAATAACAACTGAATAAGCAAACAAGCATTCATCCCCGGTGTTACGTATCAGAGTAAGACCCGACTCAATCTATGCAATATGAGGTACAAATCCATACCTCAAGCAACTCTAGTCCTTCTCACCCGCGCGTTACCCAGGTGGAGGTAATATTCAAACAAAAGGAGTGAGATATCATAATAATATAAATGAAAATATGATTATGAATGAAACCAAAGTTGAGGAAGCTCTCTTTGTCGAGCCAGTGAAAGTTATAACAGTTGACACTGTCGAAGAAGTTGGGGCCAAAGACAACCATGCAAACTATGAAGAAAAAACATTGATGGTCTATCCTAAAGCTGGAGAAGAACTGATTTACTTTTTGCATCGATGCAAGTTAAAAGATTCAGATGTCATGTTGTGCCCCAGATGCATTATTGCCTTTGACAAAGAAGTTGCTAGAGAGCTAGAGAGGGTGAACCCATACCTAGCAAATAACTTTTTCCTACAGGACAAACCTGAAGAAGTTTTCTTCGACAAGAAGGGAGGTTCAAAGAAATTCCAAAATAGGACGTATGTTCCTAACGCTAATGTGTCCCCTTATAAATGGCTGTGACTTTTGAGAAATCCAACGAATGATGGGGGAAATGGAAAGTATCTAATGTTGGTTCTGGGTCCTCGTATAGGGATAACTCACAAGTCTCAAATAAATATTCCCATGTTTCACATAACTACAGGAAAAAAATCCCATGACCAAGGCTCAATTCAAGAAACACTAGAGGAACAAGAAGGTTGCTCAAGAAGCCGGAAGCACCAAAAAAGAAAGTAGCATTCAAGCTGCTGACACAGGCCAATCTGGTCGAAGGCCCATTAAGCAAAGGTTATTTTCCCCTCTATCACTAGTAAATGAGGAGAAAATGACAACGACCATAACAAATGAAAGTGATGACATTGAGGCTGGAGATTTCCATATAGGGTCTAAACTGGAGTTGAATATCATTTGTAATATGATATATGTATTGCCATTAGAGTATGACACAGTCACAAAAGTAACTGAAGAAGATGGTTGTCTTGATGAAGAATTATCCACCCACAAGCCTATATATTACTATGTAATGAATGATGTATCAGTGAATGAAAACCGCACCATTTTCGAAAGTTCAGACATGTCCATGCAATAACACTTGAAGCCTATATACATCAGGGCCAAGGTAAATGGTGTAGGAATCAACAAACTCTTGATCAATTATGGAGCGTGTTTCAGTGTCATGCCATAGTCAGTCCCTCTTGAAGAAAATAAGCAAGGACATTACTAACCTAGCCTATAGCAGTATGGTGCTATCAAATTATAAGGGCCAGACAATCAAGCCCTTATGAGTTATGCAAGTCGATGTGGTTGTGGGAACCACTACTAGGCCAACACTGTTTGTCGTGGTGCCTACCAAGGCAAGCTACAATCTACTGTTGGGTAGGGAATGGTTACATGGAGTGGGATGTATTCCTCCCTCAATGCATCATAGGATCACCATTTGGAAGCCCGACAGGATCGTCGAGCATATTGAGGCGGATCAAAGTTTTTATAGAGTTGATGTCAATCACATTGATAGAGTAAATTTAACTGCAAATTGGCAAACATGTTACCATGTGGACCAGCTGGAGAAGGTTTTAACTTTAAAGGATGTGAGGTATATTATTCAGTAAACCTATAACCTCAACATGGGTTCACCTAGGAGTATGAGACTGTCATAGGCTACAATCGATGGTCTGAATCAGAAGATGACCAATGATGGAATTGAGCGCGTTGGCTCATATTTCGGCCTATGCAGCTAAAAATAGAATAATTGCGGCCTTAGAGGATGAATCTCAACAAATTATTATTGTGAAAGCCATTAAGTATGAGAATCCTCAAGCAAACCAATATATCTACACCGGCCAAACAATAACTTCAGAAAGCTGGAGGATAGATTGCATCTACCATAATGAGCCTTTAAGGTTAAAAAAAGACCCAATAATCCCGACCAGAAAAATGCAAGCGCATGACCCATTGGAAGATATATATTTAGGTAATTCGATGACGTAGAAACCAACATATATTAGTGTTAAACTTTCCCACACCGGAAAGAGAAAGTAATTAAAGTCTTGAAAGAGTTCAAAGATTGCTTTGCTTGGGACTATGATGAAATGCCTAAACTTAGCCATGACTTAGTGGAGCTAAAGCTGCCAATAAAACTTGACAAGAAGCCAATAAAGCAGACCCCAAGGAGGTATCTTCATTGAAGATGAATTTTCTGAAGATTACTCTGTGGGGATAATCTCACAGAAGTGGCTCTGTGGGGATTTATGGACGATTTGAACGTCATCCCGACTCCTAAAGTCTTGAGTAAATGCTTATTCATGTTCTTATGCATATATTTGTTAACAATTAACTATATTCGTATGTATATGTTCATTTAATTTTAGTCATTGGACATTTTTACAAACAAAACAGAAAAATTAAAAATAAAAAGTTTGAATTTTAAGGTGTATTTGTATTGATGGTTTACCCATAAACAGGCGATTTTGCACAAAGAGACATAAATCCCAGTAGGAGGAAATTGTCATGAAATGGAAAGAGTACAAAGTGAAAACAAAACATATAACTATCTGGAAATGATCTCGTTGGGTTCCAGCTCCGTTATTGCCCCTATGTCTTCGAACATCTCATCCATTGCTGTCGAAAGAAGTTGATTGAACTGATTTGTACCATTCGAAACTTTTGACTTTGGTAATAAAGCTTACAGTAAGTGATCCAATGGGACATAGTCGTGCACTTTTAATGCCTAACATTTTCCTGGACCGCCCTTTCGGGTTTTCAGTCTACCATGATACCCTTTTTTTGCCTAAGCCGCCTTTCCAGGTTTTCGACTACCCGGGTGTATAATCTTTTACCTAGGCCAGTCAACCTAGCAGGTCGTTTTCATGCGTAGTATTTTTTGACTATGTCCATGTTCACAGGGTGCGGGAAATCTTCACCGTCCATGGTGGTTAGTATCATAGCAACACCCAAAAATACTTTCTTGACAACAAATGGCCCTTCGTAGGCGGGAGTCCATTTTCCCCTGGGATCACCTTGTGGTAGAATGATGCGCTTTATTACCAAGTCACCATCCTGATATGCTCGATGCTTGATTTTCTTGTTGAATGCCTTGATCATGCGTTTCTCATACATCTGACCGTGACAAAAATCCAC